GGTGGCATGCACTCAGGACCTCAAGCTTGTTAGGCAGGTGCTTTACCTTTTGAGCCATGTCCCCAGCCTGTGTGTTTTGTTTTTGAACTATAGTTGTAAGGATTGGAAAACTGAGGCTACCAGCTCACTTGTTTTATAAAGATTATGTCACCAGGATACTATAAACCAGTTCTTATGAACCTCAATTAAGAAATTAGATGGGCTTGCAGCCAGGCGCCGGTGACTCACGCCTGTAATCCTAGCTACTCAGGAGGCAGAGATCAGGAGGATCGAGGTTCAAAGCCAGTCAGGGCAAATAGTTTGCAAGACTCTATCTCAAAAAAAATCCCATCACAAAAAAGGGCTGGAGGAGTGGCTGAAGGTGTTGGCCCTGAGTTCAAATCCCAGTATTGCAGAGAAAAAGAAATGAGATGGGCTGAGGAGGAGGACATAAGGAAAGGGTGAAGGAGGGCGAATATGGCGGAAATATGTTCTCATGCGTGAGAATGGAACAGTGAGACCTGCTGGAACTGTTCCGTACAGGAATGGGAGGAGGGAGGATGCATAGTGTGACATAGCGAAAGAGCTTTTGTAAATGTCATAACGTACCCACGTACAACAGTAAGAGGATCATAAAGAAAATTAGGTGAGCTGGGGATGTTGCTCAGTGTTAGTGTTTGCCTATCATGCTCACGGCTCTGGATTTGATCCCCAGTACCACAAAAGCAAAGCCAAACCAAAGAGAACAGAGAGAACCATCAGGACAGGAGTGTGGCCCAGCGGTAGAGTACCTGCCTACTTTGCAAGAGGCCCTGACTCATCCCCAGCACTGAACCCCGTCCCATTTCACTCAGCAACGCAGCGGTGACCCACAGGCTACTAGGTCACTGGGCCTGGAGAAGATGTGTACGATGAGTCATCACCTTCATGTCACTGGAAGTGCAGGTCTTTGCAGAGGCTGCGCTGGGCTCTGGAGAAGTTGATGGCTACTCAAAGATCCAACACTCATCTTGGGCACAAGCATTGCCTGTCCTAGAGTATTCTGGCTCTTCTCTGACCCTCTGGGCTTCGTGTTGTCCAGGACTACTTCAGCGTCACACCAAATCTTCTGGCAATTCACAATTATTAAGTCATTCAGTAAATCTCACATCCATTTATTGAATACTAGATAGGAGGGATATTTTTAAATAACTAAGAAATGTCCCTGCATAAATGAATAATAATAGCTAAGTTGTATCAAAAATTACTGTGAGCCACGGACTAGACTAATTGCTTTGAATTTTTAATTTCTCAGGATAACTTTAGGAGATAGCTGAGAAAATGGAGGCTTGGGGAGCTTAAGAACTTCCTCTAAGGTCATACAGCTGGTAATGGGCGGGGCTGAGACTCAAGCGCAGGTAATTTGATTCCAATGGCTTGTAATTGCTCCACACTGAGAATTGGGCTTCCACTGCCCTGGGGGCCTAAGAGGGGTGGTTAGCTCATTCCTGGGAGCAAGAAAACGCTGCCTGGTGGAGGTGATGCCAGAGCCAAGCCTTGAAGCAGGAATTAGCCAGTTGGCTAAAGGAATAGAGGACAGTTTGGGGAATAGGAAATAGGAGCAGCTAGCATCCAGGCCCCAGGGTGAGGATGAAGCTTGGTGCCATAGACCAAGGTGGCTGAAGCTCTGGACTTGAGGTGGAGTGTGGCAAGTAAGAAGCAGATCCTGGAGGTAAAGGGGGAGCCATGCAAGACTCTTAACTGGCAAACTGACAAGATCAGCTCCCCTTGCTGACAGTGTCTCTGGCGGTAATGAGGAGGTTTCAATGTTGAAAGTTGGGTGCCTTGGGTTTGAATCCCAGTACTGCCACTTAGAAATTACACAAATTGCTGGGCGCTGGAGGCTCATGCCTGTACTCTTAGCTATTCAGGAGGCAGAGATCAGGGATCACTGTTCCAAGTCAGTCTAGGAAAATAGTTCATGAGACCCTATCTGGAAAAAACCTATCACAAAAAGGGCTGGTGTAGTGGCTCAAGGTGTGGGCCCTGAGTTCAAATCCCATGGCCACAAGCTTTCTTTTTATGTCTTTGAATCTGTTTCTTTCTTTTCTTTTTGCGATACTAGGAAAATGAATCTGGGATCTTATGCATGCCAGGCAAGCAATCTACCACTGGAGCTGTGTCCCCAGCTGCTGGTTCTTTGAGACAGGGGCTATGTAGCCCACGCTGGCCTTGAACTCCTGGTCCTCCTGCATGTGCCCCATGCCTGGCTTAATGTTATTTTTAAAAAATGAGATATAATATTCATTTTACAGAGTTATAAGTGGAATGAGTTAATCTAAGAAAAAATGTCTAGCAAAGTTGTACCCTGGCACATAGGAGCTCAGTAAGTATCAGGTACTCTGTGGGGGAGCAGAGGTGTTGAGTAAGGTCCTGTTTTAGGAGTGAAGGAGAGTTCCAGCTTTTTTCTTTGCTCCCTACACACTTCTGCCTTTGATCGCCTGAAACTAAAATCTTATCAGGGACTTTTACATTATTTCGCCCAAGGTCTATCCATTTTAAAAGTGTTTAGCAAAGAACCAGGCATACACTAATTGCCTGACGGCTTGTAGCTATTAGGCTAGAAAATGAAACTAGCTCAGAAGAGAATAACAAGCAATTATCAGTCTGTTATCACCCTAGTGTAAATGAGAAGTCAAATCTTTTGCTGGGAACAGACTTTGATTGGGATAAAAAAAGGCTTCCATCTCAGAACACAAATGGGAATCTGAGAACCAATGGAAAGGACCACTTGGTAAGTTTTCCTGGAGTGAATCAAGTCTGGAGAGGAGTAGAAAATCCAAACTTAAATAACCAGGTGCTACAAATCCAAACGGTTTAGGATTTCAAAATAGGAAGTAGCTGCTGTCTTCCAGTCTGGAGAGGGGGGATGGGGCTTTCTTTTCAATGCCAGGAACTGTGGAGCCCCAGCTAGAGGTGGTAGGGGGTTGTGGTATCACCCACCCTCTTCCAGACGCTCTTTTATCCTTGAGGGAGCATCCGGGGCTCCCAGGGGCTGTCATGAGTTAAGCTTCTACTACACGCAAAGCTTTAAAAAAAAAAAAAAAAAAAAAAGGCAGGCAGTACGAGGCAGTGTAGCAGGAGTCAGAACTGGACACTATCTTGCCCCTGTCAACTAAACTATCCAGGTTATTGGAATGAAAGAGGAGCAGAATGGATAGGAGGGAAGACAGTCCAACGCCAGCACAGGATTTATTGTGAGTGTCCTATGGAGGGGTCCCCAGCAAGAAAGCTGGAGCCCACCACTTAGGGGGTAGACATAGAAGGTGGGTAGAGAAGTCCCAGGAAGGTCACTGGTCAGGAAAGTCTACAACGGCCCTCTGACCCTTTTGAGGTAATGGTTTAAGGGTGGGTCATTTCTTCTAGGCCAGGAGAGGAGTTTCTAGTAAATGGCTAAAGGTAGATGTTTCTTTTCCTTTAGGGCTGGGTGAAGAGTTTCCAGTAGGTCATCTAAAAGGGGGAGGGGGTCCAGTTCTAACTTACTGGATTCAGAATCCAGAGTGCTCACCATTACACCAGGGAGTCCACCTAACATAGCTTCCTTTTGTTCACCCTAACACACACGACCTTGGCAAAGCTTCCTGTCAGTTTTGAACCTCAATTTTCTCAGCAGCTCTGTTGCGTGATGGTGTTGAGCCTCCCTTGGGTCACAGTTTTTACATTTGTGAAAAGGGTACTATCTATTTCATGGGACTTTATGACTAATGAAGAGGAAGCGCCCTGTACCTGGACAGCTCCATGATCCCGAGACTCAATGCTACTATGTGCTTGCGACAAGGGCTGGGGATGGGCCGTGCAAGGTGGGAGCCGGAGTGATTTTGGTAGGTCCAGCCAGGGAGGAAGGGGCTTAATCAACGAATGTTACCCCAGCATAGGACGATGGGGAGCTGATCACTGGCTGCACAGTCCTGGGGTGCACAGCCCTCAGTAAAGCCTGTTGATTAGATAAGGTGAATCAGATCACAGACCCCTGCCAACTTGGGAGGCGGCAAGGTTCATCTAAGCGATGGAAGAATTCAAATCCAGGACAGGCTCTGTCCCTTCACGGCTGGGGTAATCTTGGGCCAGTCACTTTTCCTCTCCGGGCCTCTTTGGAAATGGGGCTCCTCGTTCCATTTACCAGTACGTGTCGACATAATGTATGTGAAATGCGTCGTCAAGAGACCCAGAGTGGCATTTGTTATGCTAATAAGTCCCTGTGGCGGGTGGCTTTCACTCTGGTTAAGCGGTTCCTTCCACAGGAAGCCGGGTTTCTCGCCTCGCCGCCGCTCTGTGGACTGGAGGCTCCGGGGCGGTGACCATTGTTCTACACCAGGCCGCAGGGGAGGACTCTAGCAGGCCAGACCTCTCCTTTGGTCTTTCCCTCTGCCCCGCACCCTCGCGGCAACGAGCCTGAGAAGCCCGGGTCGCCGAGCTGTCAGCCCCAGAGCGCTCACGAACATCGGCCGAAGACGCGCCCGAGTGCTTCCGAAGAATTCCGACCGCTCTCAGTCTCCGGAAAGAGCCGAAGGAGCTTCCCACCCTCGGCCTGCCGAGCCGTTCCGAAAAGGCCCGATATTTTCCGAGCGGCCGTCCTGCCGGACTGCTGGAGGCGGCCGCAGCGCCATGTTGGATGCTCTGCTCGTTGAGTGAAGAAAATCCGCCGGCATCGCCTGAGCCCCGCTACCGAGAAGGGCGCCGCTTCCCCCGGGGAGGGGGACAAAGACCCCCCGCCGCCGGCCCATGAGGATATTGCCGTGAAAGGTCCGGTCTCTCCGCCTCCTGCCCCCGCCGTGTCCGGCCCCCCCCCTGGGGTCGCGTTGTCACGGAGACAGGCAGCCGGTGGTGCTGGCCCGCGGGGCGGCTGCTGCTGCCGGCGGCGGCGGCGGCGGCGGCGGAGGGCGTGTGTGACCGGCCCCGGCCCCCTCCTCCTCCTCCTCCTCCCAGCCTCCCCCAGGTCCCCCGCTCCCGCCGCCTCCCCGGGTCTGCCCCCATCCCGCCCCCCTGCTGCCCCCGGCCCCTGCACCCCGGCGCGCCCGGTCCCGCTCTGGGGGGGTTGGTGGCTTCGCTTTGCCATGAGTTTACCGCAGAAACCGGCTCTGAAATCAGGCTCAGCGGTTGCAGCAGGAACCGGACCCGGCACCGGAGCGGCGGCGGCGGCGGCGGCGGCAGCAGCGGTACCGCCTCCTCACCCGGCGGCGGCAGCAGCGGCGGCGGCGGCGGCAGCGGCCCCTCCTCACCCGAACATCAGGGCCCTCCAGACCCAGGCGCCCCAACAGTATCCTTTTCACCTTCCTGTGGGCCCTTCGGCTCTTGTCACCGCAGCCCGGGGCGGGGTGGGGACCCCGCAGTCCAGGGGGACCTTCCGGGGACCCTCCTGCCGGTGGCCACAGCTCAGCCCGGAAAGGGGCTGCTGCTGCTGCTGCTGCTCTTGCTGCTCCTTCTTCTCAAGCCCCCGCACCGGGTTTGGTTGGAGCTTTTGGGGTGCCCCGGCAGCAGTACTGCGGGAGGTCCCCGAGACCCCCCTGTGCAGTACCGCGAGCACCGACTCCAGTGGGCCATGCCTCCGCAGCTTCCCTTTCGATCGGGGACCCTCCTCCTCTCGCTTCCTCCCCAAACCCCTCCCCTTCATTGGGCAGAATTTGCTGGTGCCTGGGACCAGCCCTGCGGGCAAGGCTGATTGTCGTCGGGAGCCCAGCCTCCTGCCTTCAGCTTCCCCTACAGTGGGGCTTGCTGACCTCTCCGAATTATTATTACTACCTAGTAAACTTTATTGGTAAATTTCCTGGTTGAAACTAACCAGCTCGTTCCCGAGGTAAGTTGGATTTCCAGGCTTCGGTGTGAATGTACAGAAAAAGCACTCCCTCTGCCTAATAGTTTACAGCGATTGGGGGAGCTGGGGTATGGTTTGTGGTAGGACGCGTTCTAAGGAGGAAATGGTACACCGGACGCTTCCCTGTCTTTGACCTTTTGAAAGGAAGAGGAAGTTAACAGACATTACCCATCACCCCCAAAAGTGTCACTTCTTGGAAAGCCCTGTGTTTTGCTGAATATTTTAAAAAAGACTTTAATTTGCTCTTCGTAGGCCTGGTGTCTGGAGGGTACCACGCTCCCGGAGAAAAGTCTATAGTTTTTGAATGTTTCTAATTTCATGTTACCTGTTCCGTTGTAGACTTTTGGACAGCTTTGATTGAAAAAATCTAGGTGACCAGGTGTTTTAGTAAAAAACTAGCCGGTGAGGGTACACATTCCGCCGAGATTTACCAAGGTATTACTTACCTGAGAATAGCATTTCATCATGCATTCCTCTACCCCACATTTCTTGTATTTGTGTGAACTAATAAATAATCATCGGATGTCAGATCTGTTGTGTTTTTGTATTTGTATTACCGTGTATTCGATTTTTAGCGATCGTAAAGTATTGGAGCAAATAAACAGCATCGAGGGCCGCAGTCTTTCACAGTCCTAGTGTGATTCCTGTCTGTATCGGTTACTTTGGGAAGGGAGAGGCATCTCCCTTCTAGAGTCATTTCAGGTCAGTGTTTGGTTTCTGTCAAGAGCCATTTTCTCTGTTATTTTAATACTGTTAGTCCACATTTTTTCATTCCAGACAGTGTGGTGCAGAGGAAGGATAAATTCCATTCCAGTGTGATGTGTGTGCTGATTTCATAATGTTTTTATTCTGCATGATTCTATTAAGTTAAGAATTACTCACTGATGAGAATGCTTAGTGTTGCTCATGGAAAACCTGGTTAGTTTTGATCAACATCTGTAATTGCTTTACTGGGAGAGTAAAAGTTGGCTGGTTTGCCTACTTGAAGGTAGAGTTGAGTGCTGGATCTCAATTGTATGTCTTTACTTAGTACTTTGTGAATTTTAAATTCCTTTCTAAGTTTTTTTTCTTGATTGTCCGTACTTGTTTCTGAACTGTGCCACCAGTGCATTCATCTTTAGCTGTTTTGGCAATTAAACAGAAATGAAAGGAAACCCCTAGTATGTGTTCTTGATGTACAAAGTAATAAGTGGGACCTGCAGTGCTGACTATGACAGTGCTTGGTGAATCTGGTGGCTTATTTGGACACAAAGAACTGTGGCTTGACTGTTTCAGGGGTGCTTTTTTTCAGTGTGTTTCACAAAGGAAGGATTCTCACAGAGTTGGTTGCAATATAAAAGTGGTTACTGCTGCAACTGAGGCTTTTTTTTTTTAAATAAACAACTATTAAAGATGTATACATTTAAGATGTTATTTCTGAAGATCATTAAAAAACCCACTTGTGGTAATATTGGATACTTAGTTTTATGTGGTTTTAAGTTTTTATTTTGCCTCATGTCATTGAATTTAAAATTTTCATCTTGATGTATTCTACACTGCTGTTATCTTCTCTTTGCTTTACACACTGAAGGGTTTCAATCAGTAAAATACAAATACATAAATAAAACTATTTACATAAATAGTAAATGAAGTATAGGTTACAGATTTCATCAGAACATACATGTAGTGAGATGCTATCAACTGATAATGACAATTGATTAGAAATGGAATTGAGCTGGCAGAGTGGCTCAAGCAGAAGAGCTCCTGCCTAGCAAGTGTGAGCCCGATTCAAACCCAGAACCAACACACACACACACACACACACACACACACACACACAAGGCATTAAAGTAGAGCAGTTCTGCTATTCTAATCACAGAGAATGTGGGATTTTGTATTTGATAAGTTGGTAACATTGAAGCAGAGACTGGAGCACAGAGCTGGAGCTGTGCTTTCCATGGCTTGAATAGATCTCCTGTTTCTCAAAATGTATGGGTCAAGTTGTTTGCATCAAATTAGTAAGTTCAGTATGGGTATATGGAAACGAAACTTTGAACAATTAATACATGCTAATAAAAATTATTTCAGACAATATTTTAAATTTGTAAAAATATTAGAGTTTGACATGATAAGATGTCCTTCATTTATATTTAGTGTTCAAATGACAAATCAGAAATGAAGGGAAGTGTTAGCATTAATAGATTTGAGTATAAACTGTAAGCTACTTAATTAGGCATCAGTTTTGCATGGCAAGGCCCATGATGTCATTTGAAGGAGAAATGGCCTCTCTGACTGCAAAAGATTCAAAGGACAGTGACTGGTAGAGGGTGGGCAGGATTGTGGAGGAAGAAAAACCCTGATATGAAAGCCAAAAGCAAAAGAGAAATATGCTAGAGGCTCACGTAACATAGGCCAACATGAAACAGCTGATAAAATTGGCATTTCAAAAAATATTTGCTTTGACTTGGATAGAGGCTCTGTTAAGAATCTTAACAGTTATTAACCTTTTTCTGGGTGATAAATAATTTTGACTTTTTTTTTTTTGCAGTACTGGGGTTTGACCTAAGGGTTTCCCATGCTTGGTTGGCAGGTACTCTACCTCTGGAACCACACCTCCAGCCCTAATTTTGACATTTTGGTGAAAGCTACATAGCTTGTCTCCACAGAAAACTGTCCATACACAGAAAGTCTTGCTTATATTTTTCAGTATGTTATTGGGACCTCATTAAAAGCCTCCTTTAGATTGAAACTGCTCACCTTTCAAAGAATTTATGATAAATGAGTTTGAATTCAGGTGCTCAAATAGTTCTGACTTACACAGAACAGTTTTGCAGTCTGTTATGAATACACAGTGTTCTCTCTATTTATATGGTAAGACTTCAGGGTATAATTTCTCTCAGGGCTGCTGACTCTTCTGGAGAGTCTAGTTTCTGTTTGGGGGCAGCCAGTTCAGATAAGCAAATCAGACAGTGGGTTCTTCCCAGTAACTAAATAGGTACAGACTTGTGTCAACCAGAAAATGACCTGTGTCCTCAACTGTTTTGTCATAGACATATGATACATCCATCTCTATCCTTATCTATCTTATCTGAAACCAGTATTCCCATTGCTTTTTTGGGGGGCATTACAATTTTCATTTTTTCCCCCTTTGTTGATTTTCAGTTTTATCTTACAGGCTGAAGCCAGTGATGTTTCCTATCTTTTGCCTCTCTGCCAAATCTAAATCTGAATAATATTAATAATATCGGTTTTTTGAGTGCCTCGTGTTGGCTGGGAGCCAAACATGGTTTTATTGAATTCTTCCAAGTATTCTAATAAGATTGGTATTGTTCACATGTTACAGATGAGGATATTGAAGTGCAAGTATTTGCGTTTCCAAGATACCTACTCTAATAAAAAAAGGTGGTCTGTGAGTCAGACTGCTATAACTGACTCATGCCCATGGGTGTTCTTTTTTACTATGTTAGGTTATTTCTCACCCAACCTGCATGTGGGACTGGAAGGAAGAATACTCTCCCTATATTTTGAGAGTCGGGGGGAAAGTTTATATGCAGAAAAAACTCTGGAGTAATCTAGAACACAGTGATACTGTACCTTGTTTTAATTAGTTCACAGCCACATAACTGTTAGACAAGTAGGTTATCCTCACCTCACTGAGCCTTAAAGCATAGGCTCTCCACATTTGATTCAGCACATGTTTCTGCTAGGTCAGAAGTCAGCAAGGCCTCCGGTAAAATGCCATTATAACCAGAATTCTGTAGATCATGTGGCGGCCAGCAGTTTCTCTGCTCCTAAGCCCCACCATCACAAAAGTGTCAAGTATTGAGGGCAGGTCCTCACATAAGAAAGGGAGAGGAAGACATAAAAAGGGGAGAAAAGTTTCTCAGATACCGAGTTACAGTTCATCTGCTGTCACTCCCTGCCATAGCTTTATGGGTTTCAAAGTCAGTATTTATTTTTTTAATCAACTTGAGAGTTTGACTAAAACTAATGTGTTGCTTTGCTATATTGGCGTTTCTGATAAGATTTTTTTTTTTTTTTGGAATTACTGGGGTTTGAACTCAGAGCCTCATACTTGGTAGGTAGACACTCTACTATTTGAGCCACTAGTCAGCTCTTTTTTTGTGTTGAGTATTTTTGAGATAGGGTCTTGAGAAGTATTTTTTTGGCAGTACTGGGGCTTGAACTCAGGGCCTCCCACTTGCTAGGCAGGCACTCTAGCACTTGAGCCACTCCATCAGCCCGAGAAGTATTTGCCTGGGCTGGCCTTGAGCCAGGATCCTCATGATTCTGCCTCTGAGTAGCTGGGACTTCAGGCATGAGCCATGGGCACTCACAAGATTTCTTTTTAAAAACGTCCATCTTCTAAAAAATGTTTGAAAAACCATGCTTTACATCATAATGGAGAGGATTGCCACATTTTAGCCATTTATTTTGGGGCTTCGATATATACCAGACTGGTGCTG